AGCTACCTTAGATGTTTTGGATTCACTGGAAGTAAGCTTGTCTAAACATATTTGACATTTACACGGATTCAGTTTAAACAAGGCAAGATTTATCTCTCAAAAAATAATTAACTGATTGATTTTTTTTCCCTCTCTTTTTCTGGTCAATGTGTTCCTCAGTGTTTCAGAAATCATAAAGCTTAGCTCCTCACAACTAGTTCCTATTTGCAGATACAGAGGGCAAAAGCAATTTCCATGCTTTTGCAGTCCCCAAAGGCTTTTTCAGTTTGAATAAGCTAGTCAGTACTTTGAACCAGGTGAATAAACAGGAAAAAAAGGGAAATATTCTGTGGAGGCATGAACAGACCTCTCTTGTTAAAAACTGGCTCAACACTTTTGTAAAGTGTTTTCTGGAAATTCACCGCTGACTTTTACTTACTCAATAGATTGCCTTTAAGACATTGTAGTAAACATGTAGGGTTTTATTAACTTTTTTACTGTAATTACTTGACTGTATTCTAAAACAATGAGTGTCTCACCACCCTCATGGTAAATAATTAATTCCTTATTTCCAAACTAAGTCTATCCTCTTTCAGTTTAAAATTTTGCCCCTTGTGCTGTCATTCCAGGCCCTGCTAAAAAGTCTGTCTCCACCATTCTGTAAGCTCCAGATAGGTCCTGGGAGGCTGCTGTAAGGTCTCTCTGGAGCCTTCTCTTCTCCAGGCTGAACAATCCAGACTCTCTCAGCCTGTCTCCATAGGAGAGGAGCTCTAGCCCTCTGATCAACTTGGTGGCCTCCTCTGGGTTTGCACCAGGAGGTGAATGTCATTCTTGTACCAGTGTCCCCAGAACTGGATGGAGCACTCCAGGTGGGGTGTCACTAGAGCAGGGTAATGAATAATGCAAGTGAACATGGGAAACTGGTTCTAAGGTCTGAATCTGAGCCTTTAAAATTGCATGCTTTTTTGTTTTTATTTATTGATTTATTTTTTTTTTTAGTCCTGAAGACCTTTATCCTGGGGTCTGGTTTCTTATCTGCAATGTCTCAGGCCATTTTGCTAGAACAATTCCCCTAGCAGATGAGTGTCATTAGGTTTTTCCACTGAGGAGTTCCTTGGTTATAATCAAAGTTGCCAATTAACTGAGAAAGTAAGTGGCTTGGTCAAAATTAAGAATCTAGCCTAAGACCTGACAAAGGTTACCACAAATACATTACAGGTAGTTAAATCTTCACCACAGTTTTTCAAGGTGGAACTTGCTTTATGTAGGACCCCAAACCTTACGACTAGGTTCCGTTTGGGTTTTGATTCTTTATTAAGACTAGAGATTATTCCTAAACCACTGTGTTAAGATCTGGGAATTGTTGTGGGCTTGGCTGAGCCAGTTTATCAACTTGTAAACAGTTTTCAACTTCTATGAGTGCTTATCTACTTGATGACCAGGTTTGAATTAACAGGTCAGGATGTTGTGGTTAAGAGAAGCCACTCTGCCTGGAGTGCTGCTGAAATTTCCTCCATTTGGTGGGGTGAATAGGAGAGGTGAAGCAAGAGCCAGGGGTTTGTATTGGGCCAAGAAAGTTCAGAAGGGAATAGACTCTTTCAATGGCATGTGTGGATTTTCTGAGTGTTAGCTGGTGCACTAGTTACTGATCCCTTTTGTGAGAAGTGTGCAAAGTTGCAGGTCTCGGAGTTCACCTGCGTCCTTTGAAGAGAGATCCACGCCTTGCCTGTGGTTTGAGCACCTTCTTATGACAGTTTCCAAAATCCCTTGGGCATCACTTCGAAATTTGCCCAAGCTGAATTCCAACTAAAGAAATTTAAGCCTACAGTCTAAAAGCTGGGCAAAAAAAAGATTAATAAGATTTGCAGCTCTTTGAATGATCTTGGTGTAGGGGCCAAGCACTGAGAGAGGCATAGAACAGTTTACACTATGTTGCCTTCAAGCTTTCTGACCCAGTCAGTTCCTGCTCCTTCTGTTGTGTTTGTCCAGGTGTGTTCTCAATTCCTTGCTTGGTTTTGTTGCAATGGACAAATCTGCTGTCAAGGCAGCAGAAACAAGGTGGAGAGATTCTTTAAAGGGATTCCATTATGTTACGGATGCTAGTCAGGTTGCAGAAACACTGAGGCCTGGCAGATTTTTATGAACCTTATATGAGCTATGAAATATTCTTAATGCAAAAGTTTACTTCACTATCAGAACACAAGGATAACAAATCTCATTGTCTTTGGAAATGCTACACAGCAGTTTTGGAGTGAGCGTGTGTGTGTATAAGAGGCGAATTGGAAATGTCAGTGCTTAGGAACGTGAGGTTTATGATTGGAAAGGAAAGAAGGCAACAACAGAGGAGGCCCAAGGCCTGTATGATGTTGGTGATAAGTGTCTAGAGGAGGATGAAGAGTGATTCAGTTGCTTTGATGAATTACTCTGCACTACAGGCTCTCCAACAGATGTGATTCTTCAAAGAAAGTGAGGGCTTCCTCCTCTCTGCACAGTCTCCTATCAAAGTACTCTGCAGACATCAGTACTTCTCTAGTACTCTTCTCATGCAGTTCTTTCAGACCACTGCCTTTTTATTTTCTTCAAAGATATTAAAACACAGGAATGATTTCCAAGGTTTTTTTCATCATTCTGAACTGTGGACAATGTTATCCATTTATCATGTGTATGACCTTTACTAAAACTTCTTCCTTTTCAGTTTTTGATTCAGGTTTTAACTGTGGAGAAGAGGTGTCTATATGGTTTTGCAAGGCCAATATGGACTATGTCCTTTGCTCCAGCTGAAGTGTGTTTTCAGGAGGAGTACATCTCTTACTCCCCATGGGAATCTTGGCTCAACACTTGTGTCACAAGGGCCTTCTTGGAGGCCATTTAGAGAAAGAAAATGAAGAACTAGAAAGGTTGCACAACCTTGCTTTGCTTTCTCTGTTGCAGAGACTTTGTCTGGGTTTGTGACACCTGTGCAGCTGTCAGTCAATGCCTTCGATGCAGATGTATGTTCATGTGACCAAAAACCAGGTTTGCCAAAGCTAAACAAGGAATAGAGAGCACACCTGGGCAAACACGGTAGGAGGGCATGATGGGACAGGGTCAGAGAGATCTCCCCAGTGCTGCCCCAGTGGGTGCAGCTCCTGCCAGAAATCTGCCAGCATCTGAACCTCTCCAACTGTGATTTGTGATAGATCTGGCTCATGCTTTTTGTAGGAAAATCTGGTTTTAGATTTAAAAAATTTTAAGTTTGCATGGCAGACTCTTTTCAGTAGTACTGAGCAATAGGAAAAGAGGCAACGGGCAGAAACTGATGCACAGGAAATTCCACATGAATATGAGGAAGAACTTTTTACTGTGCAGGTGACTGAGCACTGGAACAGAATGCCCAGAGAGGTTGTGGATTCTCCCTCACTGGAGATATTTGAAAACTGACTAGATGAAATCTTGTGCAATGTGCTCTGGGAGGAATCAGCTTCAGCAGGGAGGTTGGACCAGATGACCACTGTGATTCTGACTGTCATTCTCAGTAATGTGACCTGTTTCTTTGAGGACACAAAGAGACAAGAATGGGGAGAATGTGTTCATCAAAATAAAAAGTGTCTAGTCTCCCTTGCCAAGGAGCCTAACAGTGATTTAGACCAACTCAGAGTTGACTTCTATCAGCCTCTGGCCAGTTATCTCAATCAGCAGAACAGTGAGATGTTCATTTGAGACAAAGGCAATACTAGCTAGTGGTAACATCCTGTACATAATGTGCAGCCCCCATCATGCATGTCCTTCTTCCCAACTCCATCTGGGAACAGAATATAGAGAGCCTTGGGAACAGGGCTCCTGAGTTAGCTGAATATTTCTGTGCATCCTGCAGTTTTTGCCAGGTGAAGAGTAACTGCCAACTGCCTGCTTGAGTAACATCATGTTGGGATGCAGGTATGGAAAGCTTAGGCTGCATTGGCACTATTAAACAGCACTGGGAAGCATTTCCAGGCACAGAACTGTAGCTGTCTGTATTATTAGGACAGTCCCTTGTACATTTCAGCTCAGGCTAACTAATGTTGTCTCACACAAGACTCAGATGTAGTTTACGGACTGCTCACAGCAGACAGTTTATGTGGTGACTGTGCTTTTCTTCAGGCCAAACTGGTTAACCAGGACAATTGTCTACCCACTGTACAGGCTGCCATCAGTGCTTAAAAAATGTCTCACATATTTAATTTCTGAGTTTTAACCTGACCCTCAGGTTCAAAAGCAGAACCGAAAGGCTGTATCTCTGGATGCCAGACCTTTTAGACCCTGACACGAATAATGAAGAACTGGAAGCTGTTCCTGAGGCCCCCTCCTTACACATGGTGCCATGACTAATGGGTGTTGCAGGGATCTGGTGGAGATCTCTGTGGGCCATTATTTGTGTCCATTTTCCTCATGGTATTCAGGGAAGGAAAAGGCAAAGTCATTAGCTCATTAGTGGTTGCTGGCTGGTGGCAGTGTCGCTGCAGTTCTTCCTTACACGCATGGAAGGATTCTCTCCATTCTCAAGCCTAAGGAGATCCACATCCCCCTAATCTGATCCAGAGCTCCTGGGCTCTGTCCTGAATTAAGACAGTGCTGTGTGCAGGGGGCAGCTCTTGCTGTAGGCTGCACAGCAGCAATCCATCTCCAGCTGAAACAAAGGGATGCAAGTGACAAGTGATCAGGACCTGGCCTGGGTCACTGATCAGCAAAGTTCTCACTGTTTCTTTTGCCATGACTTCTGTCCATTTGGTCAGGTGTCTCCATGGCAGCCTTGCAGGAGGGGATGTTCTGAACTGGTGGATGGCAGCCAAAGTGGCTGCTATTGGCTGAGGGGCACTTGGCACAGTACACCTATCCTTAGAGCTGCCTGTGTGGAATCTCGGGAGAGAAGGAGAGGCTGGCTCCTCCCCACATCCCACCTCTTCATTTAGGCTGTGCTGGAAAAAAATTACCCCCCCTATAAACAGCCTCAGAGATTCCAGAGGAAGGGAGCCACTTGAGACTGGGCAGCAAGAACACCCAGGATGAGGATAGCCATCCTCCTGAGCCTTCTGTTCAATGCTGCAGCTGCTTCTCACCAACTGTGAGTGATGCTGAGTCCTGTTTCAGTCTCTTTCATGAAGGCATGAGCCTAGCTAGATGGACCAGATCCTATGCCATCAGCTCTCATGCTTCCTGCTCGATCAGGTCACCCCAAGGAGTAGCTGAGTCATGTACCTTGCCTCCCATGCCTTAGTCTGACTGCTGCAGATCAGTGCAGGACAGCTCTTTGGGGGACTTCCAGGTAGGACCTTAGGTCCAGAGATGTTTGCTCTGCAGTTGCAATGCCAGATGAAAACTTTGGTTTCTAGACTGCAAGGTTATGAACCCAATTCTTGTGAAGACTGCATGGGATGTTTTTGGAGATTTCATGAGATTACTGGAATAAGGAGTTTGAAATAGATTATAGGGCTATACTTAAGGTAATCAAACAGCAATATTTCTTAAGTTTCAGTGCAACAACCACTTTGCTGGGCTCAGTGTTGCTTTTGAATGTTGGTGGAAGCCATGGCCCATTGCTGAGGGATTCTGCAGAAGTGGGCCACAGCAGGGCAGCTTTTTACACTTCTTGAGACCTCAAACTGGTACCACCTCTGCTGTCTTCCCCCTCCACAGACACTACCTGGTGGTGATCCCTGCAGCTCTCCAGTACCCATCCACCCAGGTTGCCTGCCTCCATATCACCTGTCATGATGCAAAAATTCAAGTGAATCTGGCCTTGGAGTACTCTGCAGGACAGGAGCTCTTAATGCAAGAAACCATCCAGAAGAAGAAGACTTTCCTGTGCACTAAGTTCTGGGTGAGCCACCCTAGGCAAATGACTCTCCTTTCAGGAAAATGCTTGTGTTACTCCCTAACTAAGGGTGACATGGGTAGGGTCTACTTTGTCTGGGTGTGAGCCTTTCAGGAAGGGGAATGGGTGGTGTCTAGAGCAGCACAGCCCAACACAGTCTGTTGGTTAGCACTGAATTTCCTTTCTGAATCTAATTTTTAAATGGAATTAACATCCATTAAAGTCTGCCAGAGTTCTGGATACCTGTGTCCTTCTCCTTTACAGACCAGATGAAGCAGCTTTAGCTCTTTCTGAAGGACTTGTGCAGGTTCACAGATAAAGCTTGGGGAAATGATGTCTTGCAGGGCATACTGTAGTACCTCAAGTTCTGTAGTACCTCAAGTCAGGCAGCAACTCATCTCTTGCGAGCTGCTGAAGACTAGTTGGATGGAAATGAATATGCTTGCTGTTTCTAAACAGCATCCTAGAGGCTATTTATTGTTGGTGAGAACTTAGCAAAGATCTGGAATAAGGAAGGCATGTCTAAGCAATATCCTTTCTGTTATACTGCATATTCTGTGCTGAGGCTGCTGGGGTCTTTGGTGTCCCAAGTCTTTCTGGTTGTGTTTTCTACTTTGGATTTCTTGCTTGTAAGTGCTGGGTAGTTCTGAAAGCTGAGCATTTGAGGCTGTGCAACTGCTTGATCTCTCTCTTTTGATTCTCTGCTACCATCTCTCATTTTCTTGTCATCTGCCCATCTTCCTGAGCAAGTCTGAAGACTCAAAAGTGTCAGGTGCTTGATTGTCACCAGTGGGAAAAAGGAGAGATGCCACGATATGCAGAGGCTCCTACTGTTTATGTAGGACTGTGTGAGATCTGGATGTGATTTGGTTTCAGAGGTTGTTGGTGACTGTTCCCTCCTGGCACAGTGGGAGGGAACTGATTAGTTGTTCTACTTTACTCCCAGAATATTACCTGGGGCCTCCTGGGTGTGCTCTCCTCTCTCTGTCTGTACAGGTTGCCCCTCCAGCTGATGGCACAGAGGAGGTTGCCACTGTAAAACTGACCATCACAGGAGATGGGGTCAATATTGAGGAGCAGAAAAAGGTCCTGATCTGTCAGGGCAGGAATGGCACCATCATCCAAACAGACAAGCCCATCTATGAACCAGGGCAGACAGGTGAGATGCAAATGGGAGCAGCTGAACGTCCTAGGCTTTTTGCTGGTTGCACCATATGGAAAGACTGTGATGCCCTGAAATGCATGAACAGCCCTAGCAGAAGTCTTTGAGACCATGTTGCTTGCTGAGTTTTCAGTGTTTGTATTGTCTGGCTTGTGATGACTGTGGAGTTGCAGGAGGCAGTAGATAATGAAAACCATGTCCATGGTACCTTACATGTGGGAATGTTAGTGTCAGATGTTACCACAAGTGTGTCTAGAATAGAGATAGGAGCTGGGGAAACAATGGAACAGGGGTCTGTAGGGAAAAACTGAGATCTGATAATATATTCCCTGATTTCCTTGCTTTCAGTGAGATTTCGCATTGTGACTCTGGATGAGGAATTCCTTGCACTCAACAATTCGGTAAGCGAGTCCTGGAGGCTGTGGAAGAGGCTGCCCTGTACCATGCATGGATCCCACCTCCTTTCCACCCTGCTCATCTGCCAAAGCTCCAACTTCTCCACACTCATCCCTGGCAGGCTTTATGGGTGTGCAGAGGGGAATAGTAACTGCCAGGAAGATGGCAGAGGTGTGCACGACTCTTGCTCATCTTGGTAGAATAGTCAGGCAAGTCCATGTGTGGGACATATTGATTCCTGATGTGATGGTGTCACGGGGGGAGTGAATAGATTTTCACTATTCAGGTGAAAATCAGGTTTTTTAAAATTCAGGTAAATCAGGCTTTCCTTCTTGTGGGGAAGGGTGCTTTTAATCTGCACCTACAAGCTGGAATGTGGGAAATACTGTTTAGACATTAGGACAAACTTTTTGATTGCAACAATGTGGAGATGTGTCCAGAAAATGTATTTTCATCATTGGAGATGCTCAGAACCCAGCTGGAGAAGGCTATGAGCAATCTTATCAGGAAGACATGTTTCAGCAGGATGTTGGATTAGGTGGCCTCCAGAGGTTCTTTTCAAATTAGGTGATCCTATTCCTCTGTAACCCTCTTAAGACTGCACTTGAACCACAGCGAGATTTCTTGGGGTGACTTCTGAGTTTTTCTGTCAGGAAGTCATTAGCAAATGCTGTGTAACCTCCATATTGGTTTTTCCTTTTCCTTTCTTCAGACCTTACTGCAATGAATTCACCTGGTTCTCCTTTTTGGAGGCATTTGTTTCACTTTGTATTGTTGTCAGTGCTCTTCAGTTTCCAAATCACCAGCTGCACATCCTTCAGAGAGGGTTTTGAGTCTGAAGTACTTTGTGTGTGGTGCTGGCATATGTTTGTCTCTTCTAATGTTTTTGCATTTTTTCCTTCACAGATTTCCCTGTTTCTCCTGGTGAGTGATGCTGAAGTCTCTTGTTAGAGTAATGGTGATGGCAGTCATTTCACTTTGCTGTTCATATTCAGTTTCTGGTAGATTTTAGATTTTACAGACCTCTGAGTGGAATAGTAGATCTTCTTTTTTTGTTGCTGGATGTTAAATTCTTAAACTAACATACTATTTCAGCTTCTTTTTAATGCACTTCTTTGAAGTTATGCTCCCAGTAGAAATCTATTGTTCTACACTTGCAAGAGAATAAATAGAAAACTTAGATGTTTATGAAAGAAAGTTAGGACTATGAAGAATCTTTGCTTAAGATCAGAATTTAAATAAGTGTAGGAGGCTCAGATGCTGGGAGCAGAATCTGAGCATTATCATGTCTTCAAGATTTCCTGATCAGTCTATACCAAACCTCATTTCCTTATCTATAGAACCTGGTAGTCTACAACACTGAAATCCTGAGGCTCAGGGATGTGGATCAGTGAGATGCTGGAACAGCTCTTCTTTTCTTGTGAGTGCAGGACCCTAAGAACAACCAGATAGAGCAGTGGCAGGACGTGGTCCCTCAGGATGGCATTGCAGACCTGTCTTTCCAGCTGAGTGACGAGCCCCTGCTGGGAACGTACGTCATCAATGTCACCAGCACCAGAGCCTACGGCAGCTTCTCTGTCACAGAGCATGGTATGAGCACTGCTGAGAGCACCTTGCACTCCTGGTCCAGGAAGCAGGGTGTTTATTCCTCCAAAACCATCCTAGGAACTAATGGGAAATGTAGTAGCATCTGTCACAGAAAGAGTCAGAGCTGAGGCTCAGGAGAGGAGATCACTTCGGGACCTTGGCTTAGTGTGTGGGAGGAGTGTTGTGCATGGCCCTAGAACTTTGACACAGCTAAAAAAAATGTTTTAACATTTAAAGCAATTTGGGATGGACTTTTCCAGAGAATATGAAGTCCAGTGCCCTCTGACTTCACTTTAATTCCTTAATCAACTGTATTGGGGGGCCAGCCTTCTCTCAGGCTGTCAGAAGTGGAGGGAAATGGGCATGTTTGGTTTTAGTTTGAGAAGGAGCAAATCATCCAGGGCCTACACACAAATCTGTTAAAAATACCTGGAAAATCTTTCCTTTCCCCTTCTCAGCACCTTCCTTCTCCATTTCCTGTCCCTTATTCCACCATGATCTGCCTTTATGTTCATTCTTTGTGAAGGCTGTCCCTGACCTGTGTTTCCTACAGTTCTCTGTTTTTCCCTTCCAGTGCTGCCAGAATTTGAAGTGATCCTTGAGGCACCAAATCAGATTTATGCACTAGATACAACCTTCCTGCTCCGGGTATGTGGCAGGTGAGGATTCTGGCTGGAGGGATGACCTTGTGTTAATTTCTAGCCTGACGTGCACAAGCTGGATGGCTAACCATGAGGAGCCAAGGGCAAGTTTACTACACTTCAGTACCAGGAATCTTCCATGGCAGCTGTTTGCACCCTGAGGCAACACAAAACATTCCTGTAACTATCATTCTGATACTCTAATGCCCCTTTTCTAAAAACACTCCACAAATCTCCACACACGGACCTGGGGGCACAGCCTACCCTTTGACAAGCAGCTGTTTGTGGGACAGGTCATGGCAGATATGTGGCATTCATCTCCTTGAAGAACAAACTAATGGGAAACGATGGGAAGCTTTTCCAGATTATGCTCAAGTGGAAACTAGAGGGAGGCAAAAGGGAATTGGCCCAGGTGTGATCCAAGGACAATGCTACAGTGAGCCCCATGTAAAGGTGAATTTTTAAATAGAAGACACTTTCCTAATTGCCCATGTTTCTGCTCATAAGATGAGGAATGCCTTCAGCACATCCTGGGCTTATTGCTGGTGGGGCTGATATATACTTCAGTCAGCACCTACAATGCTCTAGTTACCCAAAATAAGTCAGTTTGGGGATAATTATATCATAATGCCCTTGATCTCCCATCACTGCACATATACCCCTACTCTGCACAATATATCCCTTGTGCTGTATTGTGAATATCCAGCAGTTTGTGGTCTCTGGGGCCACATGCCAAGCAAGCCATGTGTTCTCCCACTGTGTGTGACTGTCTCTTCCTTTCCCTGCTCCCCCAAACAGATACCCTCGTGGGAAAAGTGTCCAGGGGATGGTTCATGTGAGACTTTGTCAGAAGATAGCCCCATTCCTGCCCACTGCTTCCAAACCCGATCTCTGTCACAAATTCAGCAACCAGGTGAGAATGCTTAGGAAGAGCTGAGCATTTGTGCTCAGCCTCAGAGTAAGACAAGGCTGCTGCTTTAGCTGAAGTAATGGCAATGTTAACCCATTGTTTTGGCAGCTTGGCCACTGCTCCTGATGCTGCCTCTCATCAGCTGTGCCTGATGACTGTGACTAGCCCTCATCCATGTCCCCGCTCCACATCCTGGGCTGCAATGCCAAAAGGAAAAGCATCCTGAGAGCAGGAGTTTTGTGATGTTGATCCTCTGCCACATCCATAACTTCTAACCCAAGAGCCCTGCTCAGACCTTGTTTCTTCTCTCTGCACTTTCAGACAGATGAGGCAGGTTGCTTCCTCACAAACGTGAGCCTGTCCTCCTTCAGCCGAGACTTTCGGTACTATCGGGACAGCATAGTTGTAGAGGCCTCGCTGGTGGAGGATGCCACAGGTAACTCTGGAATTTCTGGTGCCTGGGAAGAGCCAGGTGAAGTTGTGCTGATCTGACCAAAAGTACAGGAGACTTTCAGGCTAGTGAGGGATCTGAGCCTTCTGAGCCCATTGGGACCTGCTATCTAACCTCACATATAGAGACAGCAGCTCTTGATGGCATGCCACACTCACTCTGAGTAGGGTGTGGCTCTCTAAAAACTGGAAGTTAAGTGGGAGGAAGATCAGATACCCAGAATCTGGGGCAGATCAGCACTGGGATGTGAAAAGTGTGTGCAGCTGAACATGTCCATCCGTATTACCAGTGGGTCACTCTGCGGGGAAATTGCTGAGGAGTGCTTGGCTTTCTTGCTCCCTCTCTCATGTTTCTGTCTTGCTGCTTTCGTTCAGAGATACAGGTCAATGCTTCCCACAAATTACTTATCTCCAGGATTGGCGGGATGGCCTTGTTTAATGATGTGAATTCTTACTACCATCCTGGACAGATGTACAGAGGAAAGGTAATTCCCAGTTTCAGTTCTTTGAAAGGGAGAGCGTGAGCAATATTTCACAGCAACCTTTACTTATTCTCTTTTATGACCCCATCTCTAGTCAGGGGCTTGGGAGAACATAAATGACTCCCAGAGACAAAACTCTTGAATTGTCCAACGTCAGAATAACACCCAAGACTGCCATTTACCAAATACCCCATGAGGGGGAGCAGCTATGGGCTTTAATATGTGGGGTGCAAACCCAAACATATGGAATTTCAACAGCCAGGAAGTCTTCTGCTGTGAAGGAGTGGAGAGCAGTGGATGTTGACCAGATGACCCACTGTGATCCCTTCTAACCTTACCCATTCTGTGATTCTGTGAATGAACATGGTAGTGCAAGTGATAATATGACAGGAGCAGTGGTAGTGTTGATAAAATTATTAATGACTGAAGGAGTGATCTTGCTGTCTTTGGAGACACTGCTTCTGACTTGGGGAAGCCACAGATTCTGTCTGCTAATCAGATTTTCTGCACTTCTCTTGCTCCCCATGATGTTCTCAGATTAAAGTAATTGATTACCAAGGCAAGGCACTGAAGAACAAAGAAGTTCTCCTCGTAGTAAACTATGCTGAGCAGCAATTTAGGCAGAAGTACATCACTGGGGAGTCTGGAACAGCTTCATTTAGCCTGGACACCTCTGCCTGGAACAGCACCTTGGCCTCCCTGGAGGTAAGTGAGGAAAGGTGTGTCTTGTGGCAGGGGTGTGCGTGCATGTCAGAGCTATTTACTGCCCCACAGACATCTTCCTTGTTCCTTTCTTCCTGAGAGTGACTCAAACCTGAAGCACCTCAGCATGTTCTAGATCTTGGCTGAGATCTTGGCTCTCCCTCTGAGAGCTTACTCCAGGTCCCGGTTGCTTTCCTCATGAGCTCTCCACAGAGAGACCTGTCCTTTGGCACTGGTCAGATTGTCTTACCAAGGTGATTTGCAGCTGACTTGCTTAACTAGAGAAATTAACTGGTCTGGTTTTTTTTGTCTCACCAGGCAAGTGTCCTGCATCAAGATTCAGACAAAGAGCCTGGGACAGCTGACTTGAATTTTCAGAGAGCCTCTTACTTCATAAATCCGTTCTATAGCACCAGCAGGAGCTTCCTCTCTATCATCCGTGTACCAGAGAAGATGCCCTGTGGTAAAACGCAGTCTGTCCAGGTGGATTTCAGAATTTATGAGGAAGACCTGGAACATGGGCCCAAGCGCGTCATTTTCTCCTACTTTGTGAGTTTCTGGGAAAGTGCTAGTGGGTGACAGCTGAAGGACCAAGATCAGCATCTCTTAGAGGTTCAAGCCTGATATTTGATAGTCTTGGCTCAGGGAGTTCCCCCAGTCATCATGGAAGTGGATCCTGGGTTTGACTCTGGTACTGCAGTAATGGCAACAAAGGCAGAACTTTTCTTTTAGGCTCTGCACAGGTGCAGGGCAGGTATTGGCCTTACTTGTCCTCCCCCACATCACTTCATCCCTGAGGTCTCCTTATTAGCTGAGAGCAAATAAGGCTAATATTCCTCCCCCAACCCCCATTTAATCTCCCAATTTAATTTCAGGGTTACTTTGATCTTCTTAGTGATCTCAAAGGCTATATGACTATGTGACCGTCCCTTTCTGTGTTCTTCTCCAGGTCACAGGGAAAAGAGGGATAGTCCACGCAGGTCAGCAGACTGTTTGGGTTGGGCTGCCAAGAAGTAAGTGCACTCCCCAGTGTCATGTCTAGCTAGCACTCAGTGGTCTGTGGCATCCACTCTTATTTGGAAAGTGGCATAAGCCTCCCTGCAATGCAGGGGTAGCTCACCACTTGTGAGTTGCATCAGAGCACTGTGCCTTTCCAGATTTCATGCTCCTTTTGCCCTCCTGCTTTGTACCAAGAGAATAATACTCAGCATTTCCCAGCCCATAGGCACATCCTCTGTTGTCTTCAAGTCTCCTTTTGCTGCTGCTCCTGCAAGAAGCATGAAACGATAGCCTTACCCTCCATAGCAACTGTGCCTACAAATAATCTGGGTCATTGGGATGCCACATCTTATAATTTTGACACCTGATGACCCACTGTTGCCTATTTCTCCAGCTCTTGTTTTTTTAAAACCTGAATTATAAGTATTTTGGGACAAAATACTTATAATTAAAAAATACCTCTTTATTGGTGATGGGATGGGAGATGTTGGGTGAGAGGAGGCTTTGAAAGATACCTGAAACTCTCACTCTTTGTGGAGCCAAGCTTAAACTCCAAAGTTTTGTGTCCCCAAGGGCAATAAACAGGAAAGTCTTTTGCTGGTCTTGAATATCAGATCCAGAGATGTGCTGATTGATTTAGTAGTCTCAAGAAATCTCTTTGGTCTTGAAAGACTTCAGTAAAGGAGGAAAGAATTTAAACAGGCACATGCAGAATGCCAAAGCTGATCAGACTCTATTTTCACTACCAAATCTACTCCTCTTATTCCCTCTCTTCTCCATCTAGTGCTGGAAGGCTCCTTCTCCATCCCTCTTACATTCAGCTTGACCTATGCCCCAGCTCCAAGACTTGTTGTTTATGTCATCTTCCCTAATGGAAAAATCATTGCCGATTCTGCCATCTTCAGTGTCTCCACGTGTTTCAGAAACAAGGTAGGGTTTGTGTCTGAGGCTATGACTGAATGTGTGAGCGTGGAGGTGTCTGCTGCCATGAAAGGAGAGCTGTGTCGCTGTGTGTGGCTGATGCTGTGTGTGATGCTGTCACATGAGCTGCAGTTTGTGATTGGTGAGGTGTACTGTGATGTTTGGAGCAAGCGTGAGCTCAGCTTTGTGGGGGCTGCTGCAATGTTTGGGAAAGGCAGAGAGTTGCTGTCTGTCTCCATAGGCAACTGCAGTCTGGTAGGGTCATAGATAATCCAGCCCAGCACAGGTCATTTGTGTGGTTCTCAGGAGAGCTCAGGGCTGCTCTGCTGCAGCAGCAGACAATTAGAATTGCTATTACGTGGTATTGGGATGACATCTGAAAGTGGATTATGGAAGAGGTGGATTTTACTGGCCATCCAGAAAGGGCTGAGTGCCCTTGTGTCATTGTGACATCCTTGGGAATCTGCTTTATTTGCCGTGTCTTGCACTCCAAAGGTGAATTTCTGAGAGGGCATTACCCCTGCTCCACAGCTCCAGAGCTGTTTGTCTGCCATAGACAGATTGAAGCAAGAACAGGAAGAGTTTCAGGAAACTGAGACCAATCCCACAAAGAGCCTGGAGAAAAGGGCTAGGCTTATTTTTGATCTGGGACCCCAGAAGAAGGGGCTTCATAAGACAGCTGTGTGTGACCATGGCTGGCTGGTGTGCTAGATAAAGAGGAGAGAACTGTGCTCTGATACAGGGATGTCTCCATGTGCACACTGATGGCCCCCCCTCTGGCATCTTTCCTGTTAGAACCTCCACGTGGTGTTTTTTAAATACCTTCTGGGGGTCCTTGGGAGGTTCCTTGGGTTTCTATCCAAGGCAGGTCTTTGGAAACTCTCTTCATGTAGGTCCCTCCCCTGCTTGGGGAGTGGTGGGGTGGCCACCCATAGAAATATGACTCAGGCATTGCCTGCATTCTTCCCATCCAGGTGGAGATGGGCTTCTCAACGCCAGAGACTCTTCCTGGCTCACAGGTTGGCCTCCGCCTGCAGGCAGCTCCTGGCTCCACATGTGCTGTCTGGGCTGTGGATCCAAGAGCCTTTTGGAGGAAGCCAGGAAAGGAACTGAGCAGCCGCTCGGTGAGCAAGCCTTTCCCTTCCCTGCTGACACGAGGTGGGAGGGAGAATCTGTGCAGAACTTAACTCCAGAAGCTGGAAGCATGGCCTGGAGGGATCAGCAGCACTCCCAGTGTGGATGGGTAGGGATTATGGATTAAGGAAGATGTTGAGCATTGCTCAGTGGTAAAACAGCTTCTGTGCTGGTACTATCAGAGGAGAGCCCAGGAAGAGTGGCAGCGATCCTGGGTTTTCTGGCATGCCTTCACACACAGTAGCCAGAAGCAACTCAAACAGGCCTTGGATGCCTGAGAGGAAGGGAATGCCAGGTTTAATTTGCACTGATTTTTTTTTCCTTTGCTTTCTCAGATCTATGGGCTGTTTCCATCTGTTTATAACTCCAGGTATCCTCGCCAAGTGTCTGAAGATGATAGTTCATGCGGGTTCCCAAATTCTGATGGGCCGGATGTGTTTACGGCATTTAGGGTAAAAATGGTTGATTTGGTGGGTTGAGAGAATTAATGAACTGAGGGGAATGTGGTCCCTGACTATACCAATATCCAAGGGATGCCATTGCAAACAGGATAATGAACAGTTTAGGCCCTTGTAACCCTCTTGTTTTTTGAATAGGCGACTTGAAATGTATAAGGAAAAGTCACTGTGTGGTTTCCACACTTGAGTTGTATGACTCAGGATGCCAAGGATTATTCATTACTTTAATTGAGTTTCATACAATTTGTTTAATCTTCATAGCATGAGAAATTGCACCCTGCAGGCAGAGAAGGCATAGTACCCAAATGACCATGTGTTTGAAAAGGAATAAATTTGGCTGACTCAGGCCAGATGAGTTACCTTAGAAGACAATGTTTGCCCATTGCTGGGGATCTGAATTATTCCTTTTTAAAATGAAGCAAGAGAATACAGAAGACAGCCAAGTCCCCACTGCATGAGGGGACAGGAAGGCATAAGGGCAGAGAGGAGAGGACAATCTTCTGGTGATTATTTTTTTCCTCCAGGAAATGGGATTGAAAATTATGTCCAACACCAATATCAAGAAACCCAGAGTATGTCCAGCCACTCCATCAACAACTAAGCTGCGGGGAACAGGAATGTCTATTTCCAGACCCATGCTGACCTTTGCCCAGCCCCATAAATTGTATAACAGTAAGCATTTGTCAGCTGTTTCTTCTTACATGGGAGGCTTAATCTTCCATGTGAAAGCAGTCCTGGGTTTGAGCCAAGAGGCAGCACTTGCTCTAAGTGCAAGTGGAGGAGAAAGAGGGTTTCCTGTCCCTAAACCTGTTGTGCTAATGTGAGGGCTGTTAGTGGGATATCTGGATCCCAGGTTTTATATCTGGAGTGAGGGAAATGTTGCCTGTCCTATGGTGCCTCTACATGCAAGTAAAGTCCAAAGCACCTCTGACATTTGAAATGAGGCAAGGGATTTTAATTTTGGGACAGCACATTTTGTTCTGTTTTGTTCACAACTGACTGAATTTGCTGCAGCCTGAGCTGTGCTGGAGCTGCTCTGCTCTGAACTAGGACCTCAGGACTCCGTGGTGACTACAGGTCTTTGTTGTTTCCAATAGAGCATCTGACATCAACCTATCAGCCCACTATGTTTCCACCTTTTTCTTCATCTGAAGAGAAAGGACACAAGCATTTTCACCAAACCTGGCTGTGGGATTTATATTCTGTGGGGTGAGTAAACTGAGCAGTGGGGGTTTAGTCTGGGTCATTTTGTGTGGCTGGGAGTGGTAGCAGATGCAGCTGAGTTTAGATCACAGGCAGCTGTGCAAGACACTTAAGGACACACATCATGGGGCTCATACCTGTAGGCTGCTCATTGCTGGAGCTGATGTATGCAGTAAATGCATTTTCCTCTACTAGAAGTGCTGGTCATCCATGAGAGGCAGCTGGCATAGGAAGATGGAAAAGCATGAGGTGCAGCAGAACAGCTTAGTTTACTGCCTACGCTCTGCTTTTGGCAGTCCCGTGGGCTTGCATTTCCCAAAATGCGCTCACAGACGCATCCTGGTATCCAGGGGAAGCTGATGTCCATAGAAGTCTTCACAGGACTGAAAACTGTGTCCTGTGAAAAAGGCTCAGTGTGTACACAGGGTCTGCCAAGAGAGCTTTTAGAGATTTTTCATCTGAGACCTCAAGATTTTTCTTGTGTGTTCACTGAAGGCTGAAATATGCTCAGGCCAGATCCTGAGCATATTTCCCATCAACATCTACCCTCTCCCACCTCCACTGTCCTTACAGATACATGCACCTCTTCACCCCTAGCAGCAGATATTTCCCCTGTGACTTGTTCACCAATCTGATCTGAGACACCAGAAGGTTTCTGTGTTGTGTGTGGTGCCTTCCTGTCCATGCATGGTGAAATAAGCCAAATAATACCAGTATCTTTAGCTGTGACTGCTTTTTGTGTCAGCTGTGGTGGCAGCTGCAGAACAGTCTGCTCCTCTCAAAAGTTTTGAGGACAAGTCTCTACCCTGCCCTTATGTTGGGCTTTAAGCTGTCAGTGTCTCACAGGACAGAGAATGGCTGGATCTGCAAAGTTCTGCTGCTAGTCCTGTTGCTCTGCCAGTTTCTGGTTTCTGGTTCTCCATTTCTAGGCGAAGGAGAATAAGACTGCTGACATCTGTAAGCCATTTTTAGATGTGCAAAGGGCAAGTGCTGTCTGTGATTGATGGCATCTTCCAGCCATGTAACCTGCTGACCCAAGTGTTCTGTTGATATAAGCACCTGAGGTGGGGCCCCCACTTCCACAAGGACTTACTTGTGACCCTGCAAGGGCTGCAAGTTCAGTAGGGGTTGGAGTGAGGTGAGGGGACGGGGTGCTCTGCAGGGAAGGACACAGAGCAGGTCACCTGGCGTGGCATATGGCACCAGTCAATTAACTGCTTCTGTCCACTTCTCCCCAGCCCCAGTGGGAACAAGAGTGTCACTGTCACTGTGCCTGATGCCATCACAGAATGGAAAGCAGGAATGTTCTGCACAGGACGTAATGGCTTTGGGTTTGCTCCAGCCTCCTGGCTGGTTGTTTCCAAGCCCTTTCTTGTGGAGCTGCCGCTGCCATCTTCTGTGGTCCAGGGTGAGACCTTCAACTTAAAGGCCACAGTCTTCAACAACCTGCAGCAATGCATGAGGGTAGGTGAGCCCTGATGGCCTCTGCAAGAAAAGCAGGACATGGCTGACTGACACCTGTGGCCTGTGATCATGGAATCATAGGGGAAAGGACCTTCAAGGTCATCCTGTTTCAAATCCCCTTTGAGAAGTCATGGCAATTCAGTGACGTTCCCTCTGACAGGAAAAGGGAACACATTACCTCCATTTTAAAAAAGAGAAATAAGGAAGCACCCTTGACAGGTGTGAGAGCTGGGTCTGTGCAAACCTCATGAAGCTCAGCAAGGCCGAGTGCAAGGTCCTGCACCTCGCTTGGGGCAATCCCAAGCACAAACACAGACACACTTATTGCCCTTGATAACCCTGGCCAGGACTTTAGCTTTCCCAGCCTGATCCCTGGCTAATCAAACAATCCGTGTGTATTCCTCTCAGGCTGTGCCCCTACTTCCACCCTCTGTAGACTTCCTTTTTGTGTTGTTGATGTTTATTTATTGCCACCTGCCATCCCTGCTGTCCCTTCAGATCCAAGTGACCCTGGAGGAGTTTGCACACTTCCAGCTGAAGCCATGCAAAGGCTGTGTCTACAGCAGCTGCTTATGTGCCAGGGAAGCCAAGACCTTTCAGTGGAGCATTACAGCTGAGCAACTGGGTGAGAAGCACAGGAAGGTGGAGTGGTGGAACTGGGAAGGGATGGGTCCAAGGTGGGGATGTTTTGTAAGAGCTGACATAGAGAGAGGAGCTTTTGCTCTGTTACCCAGAGAGTACTTATTTGCACTTATCCTATGGTAGTGGTTACTTACAAGCCTGTGCTAGGAGGCACAAAAATATATAGGGCTCTGATCAAAGATTTTGTTGTCAGCAGGTGATGTCTACTGTATTAATGGGAAGTGTTTCCTCAGACGGTGTCTTATGCACCTAAATGTGTGTTGTTTTCAGGGCTCATGAACATCACCCTCAGCACTGAGGCTGTGGCCACCAAAGAGCTCTGTGGTGAGGAGATACCATTCGTCCCAAAACAAGGACAGAAAGACATAATCACCAAACTCATTCAAGTCCGGGTCAGTCAAGCTGTTCTGTTACCTAAGCCTCAAAGTAGGCTTTGTGCAATTCCCAGATTTTGTGCATGTTAAATTTGGGAGTTACTCCTTGCTTTTCAAAACATGTAGTTATCATTTCAGTGCCTGAGCTGGGCTCAGCCAGGGCTGATGGATGTAAAAGGTAAAGGGATGTCCTCCACTTCATACCATGGAAAATTTTAAACACTCTTTTATGTCCTTACCTCCTGAGTTCTCTGTTGAAACTTACAACACCATTTTCACAGATATTCAGAACTTAGGATAGTCTGAAAATGCATGCTAGTTTCTGATCTGAAGTGAAAATGATTAAAAGTAGTTTGCATTTTTATGTAATAATGATGATATTCCAGCTGACTGTCCACCCTGAACCAGGATTCTGACATACCTTCTTCTAATTCACTTGTCATCTCATTTGTCTCCTGGGTGCTCATTAAAATGCTACTTTTATGTGCTCCAACAGCCAGAGGGAGTGTTGGTAGAAAAGGCTCACAGCTCCATCCTGTGTCCCGAAAAAGGTAGATGGATTGTTTTCTTCTTTCACCCTGTTCATCCCTCTCTTCCTGCCTAACCACCTTCTGGGTACTTCCACTTGTTGAACTATTTTCTCTGTTCCCATGACGAAGCTACAGAAGTGTACTCTAATTGTGGTGCCAGCCAGGGCTTTCTCCTAGGCAGGGATGTGGGGAGGTTCGGTCTTTTACCATCAACATCCCTGGCACTCATGTGACAGCTTGAGGCCTTTTTCACCTGTGGAAATAAAACCACACCACTGAGCATGGTGAGGCTGGAGGACATGGCTTAGGATTGCTGTTCCTGTCTTGAATTTGATGGTGTATGATGGGGCCATCAGCTGATTTTGAGAGCATGAGGAGCATTGAGAAGACAAGCCTGCAACTGAAATCTTATATGAGATGGAGTAACTTCTGTAGAGAATAACAGGTGGCTTTGACCCCTAAGGGTTTCGAGGAAAAAATAATCTCAACCTCTTTATAAAGAGGGGTGTTAGGACAGCACAGTTACCATGAGGTGGGTGGAGGAAGTTAAGGATGGAATGGGACATGGATTTTTGAAGTGATTTACAGTCTCTGTGACAGGAAAATGGGAAGCCATCACAGAACAGCCTTGAACGGCTTCTGGGGATTTTGAAGGCTTTTTTCATCAAATTATCTTTATTTCTGTTCTCCCCACACCTTACCTGTCTGGTGTCAGGGAATCCAGCAGAGGAGTCTGTGTCTCTGGTGTTGCCTCTAAATGTGGTTGAAGGTTCGGTCAGAGCCACCGTCTCAGTCACTGGTAAGGAGTTAAGCTGTAGCAGTACCCTTGCAAATCCCGTATCTCTGAGTTTAGCCCTAGGAAAGCCCAAACCCAAACTCCCCCACACCCATTCTGAGGTTTCCAGATCTCCACTGCCTTATTCTTTCCATGTGTGTGGCTTTGTTTCCTGATTGCTGACAACCTAAAACACGCAGCAAGGGAGACAGCGTTGTGCTAATGAGCTTCCCTGCCAGGATGGGAATGTGCACAGTTCATATGAGGGGCACAGTGGGACTGATAAGGTGGCTGGGCAGAGGTGTCCCCACACTGCTGTGCTGGGCATACCTTGCTTGGGGAACTGCTTGGAACAGTCACAGGGGGGAGGAGGAGGAGGATGATCCTACTGCCCAGGAGGTGGTCAGGGTGCTTATGTTTTGTCTCAGGGGACCTCATGGGGATGGCACTGCAGAACCTGGACCACCTGGTGCAGCTGCCCCACGGCTGTGGGGAGCAGAACATGGTGCTGTTTGCCCCCATTGTCTATGTGCTGCAGTACCTGGAGAAGACGAGGCAGCTGAGCCCTGAGATCAAGGACAGGGCAACGGGATTCCTGCGCAATGGTGAGAACAACAGAGCCACCCTGCCCCTCTGCCTTCCCCCGTGTCCAACAGTCCCAGGCTCCTACTCCCACCTGGAGCACTCAGCCAACCCATTCCTTCACAGCAGTGGTATTGCAAATACCACTGTGAGCACTCATGTCCTGTCCTGCTTCCCAGGGTACCAGATACAGCTGCAGTATCAGCACCCTGATGGCTCCTACAGTGAATTTGGTAGCAAGGATGAGTATGGTAATACTTGGTAAGTCCTGGGCTCTCTCCCTGCTGTCTATCTACTCTCTGACAGCCAGGAGGTGGGCAGCTTTCTGCTTCCAGCATGAAACCCTTGCTGTCCTGTTGGATCTAAAGTATCCTAGAAGCTTTGTACACTAGGGCACCCCAATGGGTAGGCATCCTCAGTCCTGGGGATGAACTGACCTTGAACCAGCACATTAGAAATAGCACAATATGTAAAGAGAGGTCCACCAGTTTCAAACTAACACTTTTTTCCCATCAACTTCTGCTTAGATTCTTTATTTCTGCTCATTCTTCCTGCTCTTTCATGCACCCCACCTCTCTCTGATTCTCTCTTCCTTCTTTCATGCCTTTTTTTCTGTTCTCCTCAATCAGGCTGACTGCATTTGTGGTTAAATGCTTTGTCCAAGCGAAGCCATACATTTACCTGGACAATCGGATTATCCAAGATGCTCTCACCTGGCTGGAATTCCACCAGCTCCCCAGTGGTTGCTTCAAAAATGTGGGACAACTTTTCCACACATTCATGAAGGTAGGAGCCAGTGCACCTTGAAGGACAACACCAAGCAGCTTTTGCCAAGTGTGCTGGTAATTGTTTAAATTCATTACCTGTGTCGTAGTGTTTTCTTGAGATGGAGCAAGCCAGGGATAGGTGAGGCCTCTCCTGAAAAGCTTCAGTATTTGCCTGTTAATTTTCCCTGCTTTTTGGATGTCTATGCTTTTTCTAGGGAGGTGTAGATGGGGAAGTCCCCTTGGCTGCCTACATCACTGCTGCTTACTTGGAGGCAGGAGTAACAACAGAGGTAAATACTGGGATTCTTTGCCATGCTCTTGCCCTAAGATCTGAGTCTTAAAGAGCTTTGTGGTAACACTGGGGCACCTTGGAGGGACTTGTGGGCAAAGTAACAGAGTGGGTGAAGAAGATTCTACAGCTTCTCAGGAAAAACTATCCCTTTGAGAAGGACATCCCTGGCAGGGAGCAGGTGAGGTTAAACTACTGAGGACCTCTGGACTTCATGGCCTGACACCGTGTTGGCCATTTCCCGGGAATGAGCTGTTCATCCCCCACCTCCCCATCTCCTTGCTGGTCCTATGCAGCTGAAGGCTGATCGTGAGGTGGGTGGAGCTGCTCCCACAGTCAAGTAAATAGACATAATGAAACTCCGAATAGGGTTTAGCTTCACAAAAAAAGCAGAGGTCTGGGAGAGGAGTGCTGTAGGGCATCTGGATCTGCATGCTTAAGTAATTACAATAAGAGGGAGCTCTTACAAATGCTAAGGATTATAGCTAGTTACTAGGCTGTGGTACAGGCAAATAAAAAAACAATTAACTCCATGGAGAAACACAGTTGTAGACATTGAGAAGTGGAGTTCTCTGGAAATCAGAAAAGTAAGTGAAAAAAGCAATGCTTTCCAGTGGAACGGAAAGCAGTGGGCTTAGGCAAGAAAAGGAAGACAGAAAGTAACCTTCTTTCTGGCAATAGATTGCCTTCAGGTCACCCTTTTCCCACCATAAGTACTGTTATTCGCTGTGGAGGTGAATTAAACACGGTTGCCCTGCTCAGCAGGCTGTGTGTGTGCATTTGCAGTTGTGTGGTTTTGCTGCTGTTGTGTTTGGACTGGGAAAGTAAGACATGGTGGTGTTATTCCCGCAGGAAAGGTGTTCATTTCATTGAGAGAGCACTGCTGAAGCCCAAAACCAGCTCAGGGGGGAGGTCTGTCAAGGCCCTTCCACAAGGGCTGGAGACACTGCTGCCGGTGCTGCACTGGTACAGAGAGTGCAGGTCCGAGCACAGAGTCACCCGAGGGAATGAGCGGGGTGCTCTCTGTGCTGGCACATGCCAGTGCATGCTTCTGCTTGTGCCCAGGGTCTGCCTGGCTCCCAGGGGTTTGTGTGTGTGTGACCAGCACCGTGTGCCTCTCTCCTGCAGAGCAGAGTGGTGCGCAGGGCTCTGGGCTGCATCGCTCCTGCCCTCCCCAGGGCTGCCAGCACCTACACCCAGGCCCTGCTGGCTTACACCTTCGCCCTGGCTCAGGACTCACAGCGCACCCAAGAGATCCTCGATGTGCTTGACCAGAAGGCAGTCAGAGCAGGTACGGGGGCCTCAGTGACAGGGGAGCATCAGAGAAGGGACAGGTGACCTTTCGGAGCCCTTGGTAACATGCAGCCTGGCTGGACCAGCCACAGTGCTGCCAACACTGTGGTGTGGGTGCTGGTTTCCTTCAGATCTCTTGCCCTCTTCTGGTACCTGGAGTTTGGGGTTTGGGAGACTTGGAAATTCTTGTGCAGGACTGCAAAACGCCAGAGAGGAAAGCAAGCTGCCCCATGTCTTGTTAGTCCCTGACCCTCAGGGCTGGCCAGTGGACAGCTGGCTAGTATCAGGTAGTTAGTGGACCTGGCAAACAAGGCAATACAGAATTTGGACAACTGGGAGGTAATGCATATGCAGATTATTGGCATATTAGTTTTTGTATGTCACCTTGGTGTGGAATATGGAGTGTTAGGTATCTCAAAATGGATTGGTTTTCAGCTGCCCTGGTGATGTGATGACCCATCCAAAAGGTGTTTACCCAATGGTCTCTGCAGACACAAGCCACTGTGTCTAAGAGGCCAGACCACAGGAGCTCTTCCCTGACATCACTCAAGATTCCCTCTACTACCTTCCTTTCCCAGATGGGCAGATCCACTGGAGTCAGACCTCATCCGAGCCCAGAACCAGTACCAGCCCTTGGTCACAGCCAGTGTCTGTGGATGTGGAGCTGACAGCCTACATCCTGCTGGCCCTGCTCTCCAAGCCAAATGTCACAGAGTCTGACCTCGCCACGGCCTCTGGCATCGTGGCCTGGCTCACCAGGCAGCAGAATGCCTATGGAGGCTTTGCCTCAACACAGGTAACTCATGGCCAGGGAAGGGGATGTTTCTTGAGAAAGAACCTCTGCAAGATTTGCACACAAGTGTAAATGCTTTGGGCAAAGCAGCCCTTGGATATGGAGGTCCTCAGGATGCTGACTTGAAATGTCTCAGGATCTCAGAGATGCAAATGTGTTTTCTTTTTCAGGACACAGTAGTGGCCTTGCAGGCATTGGCTAAGTATGCAGCACTGACACACAGCACACAGGGGGATGCAGAAGTGAGAGTGAAGTCCCACGGAGGCTTTGGGAAGAAGTTCCAGGTCTCCTACCAGAACCGGCTGCTGGTGCAGGAGGCGGCACTGACAGAGGTCCCGGGCGAGTTCTTGGTGCAGGCCCAGGGCAGCTGCTGTGTCTTTACTAGGGTAAGTTCCCACAGACACTGCTGTGATCACCCTCATCTCCTCATCTTGTCAAAACCAAAACTCTGTTGCACCTGTGTGGAAGGAGATGTGCATTGACTGTGCTTTAATGCCAGCCTGGTGTCAATGCAATAAACCTGTGTGTGGTAGGAAAGCCACAGAACCTGCCCAAATATGAGGACCAAGATGCTTCCATGGCTCTCAAGAGTAATGGAAGATGAAAATGCTTTATAGGGGTCCCACTGCTGTGTGCCTGACTTGCACAGTCTCAATTGAAAGTTTGAGAAGGAGCCCATGGAAGGTTTCCAATCGGAATGATCTTTATTTTGTGTACTGGGATAATGTGCTTACTGCATATCATGTATCCATTCACTGTCTGGGGTCCAATCTTCAGGAGTCAAGTAGCCAGTGAAAAAAAAAGGTGTCATAGATGACATCAAGCTACTTATCAATGTCTTAGTCTGTCTTTTTGCCTCTCCCTGCAGATGGTGCTGAGGTACAACACGCCCTCCCCACAAGACTCAACATCCTTTGCCTTGCAAGTGAAAACTGAGCCTGTCAATTGCACCAAGGACGATACACGCTCTGTAACTGTCCAAGTTCATGTCAGGTGACTAAAGATCTTATCCCACCTGAGAAGGAAAGCTGGGCATGGCTGGAGAGCTGAGGGGTGCTTCTTGGCTGCAGTGGAGGCACCAGGCAGTTTCAGGGCTAGATGGAGAGCCTTGGCTCTTGCTGGAGAGAGGAGTGCAGTAGTCAGCTCACACTGGGGATGCTCAGAGCAGTGCAGCCATCCTCTGCAGCCTGTGAGAGGGAGCAGTGACTGCCTTGGCCCCAGCCCTGGCTGGGCTGCCTGGCTCAGGGCACTGCACACAGGGGCTGGTGGGAAAGGGAAAGGAAAGCTGGGAGAGACTCTCTTTTTGATGTTCTTGCCCAGAGGCTCTCGTTTTAATCTTCTTCCCTAGGTACAATGGGAAGAAATCCACTTCCAACATGGTGATTCTGGAGGTGTCCTTACCGACTGGATTTTCCCTGGCTCCAGGATCTGTAAGAAGTGTGGAATCAGGGTTGGGATGTGGTGTGAATGGAACCATCCCTGTCCAAGGGGAAGGGAAGGTTGCATAGGAAGGTGTTGCCCGTCTCTTCCTTGAGCAATCTCACCATCTCTTCCTGTCTGCCACACAACAAACTAAAACACATACTGTTGGCTCTTTCTTTGAGTCTTGAGGATGGTGATACTTGTGCCCCAGCCAGCTTAGCATATTCCTCTCAGCTAAGTAGCCTAGGCTCTTGTCCTTGGGGTTTGCAGGAGCTGAGAGGCCCTGCAGGGAGATCAGCCTGAAGAGATAAGAGTTCAAAATACATTTGGAAGTGAGTGAATTAGAATCTGCCCACTCAAACTTAGATAAACCTTGTTGGGATGTCTCACACTTTCCTTTCAAAAGACAAAACTAAATTGCTTGCTCTCCTCTCCTGTCCTAGCTGCAGCATGGGCACTCTGTGAGAAGAACTGAGAAAACACAAGGAGGTGTTGCCATCTACTTGGACAAGGTGATGTTTGTGCTGCTAGAAGAGCTGCAGGAGTGGAGGGCGCTGCCAGAGTTGTTGGGAAAATCCAGGACTGGGGCTAGCAGATCAGGATGCTCAAGATTCATCTTGAAGTTCAGTGTTCAAGTCTACAGAGTTGTTATTGTCAGCTAGTAGGATCAAATTCAGGTGAGGAGTAAAAAGAACAGCTCATAACTGAACTGTAATTTATTTTCTTCCCTAGCTGAGCCATATCTCTGACACATATGTCCTGCATCTGGAGCAGGAGATTGAGGTGACCAACCTGAAGCCAGGCCATGTCAGGGTTTATGACTACTACAGCCCAGGTCAGTGTGGAACCGTGGGGTGCCAGGGCTGCCTGGGTGTTTGCACTTGGCTCTGTGCAAGGATAACTTAGATCCCTCCTGTTCTGTTGCAGAGGAGCAGGCCCTGGCTGACTATAATGTCTTCTGCATCTGAGGTAGGTGCAAATCCCCTCCTCAGTCCCCTGTACAGACTTAGCAGCCTTGTTATCCTTCCTCTGCACCCCATCCACTCCTCTGTGTCCCACTGGAGCCCTGTGTATCTCTAATTTAGCATGTTCTCTTCATCTAGGACTGTATCTGAAACTCCCTAAGCAGAATTCATAGTACTAGTTTCAGCATATTATATTTGGGTATGGAGAGTTTCTCTTTCTGGGGAGGGCCTGAAGTAAAACAGAGATACTGGATCAAACAAAAAAAAACCCCTTTCCTTTAGAGTCATGAGAAGAGCCTGTGCCCCCTAGCTATTAGCATCCCAAAGTTAATAATTTGGGTCATATTATTTGCTCTCTGGGTTACTCTCTCTTCTGCTCTCATTTCTTCAGGGACTTGGGCTGTTTCCTTACTGTCCACTGCTTCAGCTCACAGGGATCCCACTGGTGCAAGATGCCTTAGGACAGTGGGGCTGCTGCATTATTGCTCCTGGTATAATGAGACCTGTGTCACCTGGAAAGTCACATCTCAGGCTTGGGATTTTGATGCTGGAACACATCTCAGGTTGGATTTTGGACTAACTCCAGCCTAACCTATGCTGCTCATCGTGACAGCCATTACCTGGTGAATTTTTTTGGGTGTCTGATTAATTCTGATTGGTTTAATCTAGGGATTTTTCTTACTTGTAAAAAGAATGACAATAAAATACAAATCACAAATCTGGGTTCTGTGGTGTGTGTTTGGACTCTCTGACAGAGTTTTCCTGGGAAGAGTGAGGAGAAGCAAACTCTGTATCTGAGCATTCATTTCCTCCAGCACTGGGTTCTCCTCCAGCAGTGTTGTGCAGCCATCAGTATGGGGTGAGGACTCCTAGTCCTGCATGGAGGCTGATCCCACTGGGCATCGTCTACTGCACAGAGATGTAGCTGAGCTGTAGGGTCTTGGCTGCTGGTGCACTTTATGTGCATGTAAATCTACCCTGCTGTGTGTCTCACAGACTGACTCTGTCCTTGTGGCACAGAAAGCAGAAAGGGAGTGAATTTAGTTTCTGCACCTCTTGTGGGGCTGGATCTTGTGCAGAACAAGTCAAACATGACTTGTCAGGAAGGAGTGTGCCCTGGGGTTGAGCCCCCTGCTAATGAGCGAGGAGAATGAGCAGGGTCTTTGCCACATTACAAGGAGCTGGACAGGCAACTCAAAGAGTGTGTGAAAATTCAACATCTATCACTGCTTTTTAAAATCAAACCTCACGATATAAGTGCTGGTGATCACAGATCTTTTAGGTTGACAGTGACATGTCTCTGTATAAACAGGTAGATCTCCACAGACCTTCCCTAGAGCTGGCTGTAAGAATGTGATGGCTAAGTGCAAAGGCAGGTTTAAGAGTGGAAGGGCTGGAAGACAGGTGAGGGTTGAGGGTCAGGATTTGGTTACAGCCCTGAAAGCTCTCCATACCCTGCAGGAAGGCTGGGATTTTTGGTGGTTTAATGGGAGGGATTTGGAAAGCATATTTAAATTTTAACTATGATGCTCCAGAGTAATCCTGAAGACTCAGCAAGTCCTGTCTGTGCGACAAAGACATGAACATTTCAAGTTTTTTTTTGTTTAAGAGTGAACACATTAAGGAGACATGCCAGCAAGGCAGGCTGCTGGCAGCCTGCTCTGTGTTTCATGTGCAGTTTAACAGGGCTAGAATGAAAGCATGAGCTCAGCACAGCAGCTGGATGGTAGCAATACCTTGTGCAGTGCCCAAAGTGGCTGAGCTGATGTTGCAGGTGTCACTTTCTCCTCTTGCACCTTTGTTTAAACAGGTACTTTTCCTCCTCTCTTTATTCCATTTCCTCAGCAGTCCATGAGCAATGCAGGTCTCAACTCTGCAGAACAGAATTTTTAATTACTTTCTTTAAAACTTTTTAAAAACACTTTGCAAATATTTCTGCTTTCTTTGCAAATGTCTTTTCTCTCCCTTGCTTTTACCACTGGCGAAGTCTGTCCTTGCTGATATCAAAAAGCAGAACTGGAACCAGTCAGGCCTGCAGCTGGTACTGGTACTTGGAAAGTGCATTGCCTAGAGCTGGAGTCTTGCAGAGAGGGAGGAGATGCACCTATCACTGCCAATGCCACCATGCTCTTATATTCTGTTTTGCAGAGCTTAAAAAAGCACAGGCCTGAGAAAAATCCCCAGCACAGAGGTTTATTGGGAAAACAAATCCTGTGGTAGTTATACACACACAGGAATCCAACCTACCCCTTGCTGATACCATGAGGATGAGCTTATGCAGGAGCTCATTACTGGAGAAGGAGGTCACACACAGCCCCTTGCTACTCCTATCTATATGTGTGCACACACTGTATAAAAACTATTAAAACTACCCATAGTGTCACTTTTGACTCAATATCTGCTGTAATTTCTATTCCACTTTCTTAAAAACTCTTCTCTGTCCTTGAAAATGTTCTTTATGAGATTTAAACAGTAATACCTGTGATGTCTGGTTAATAGAGAGCATTTGGAACGAGGTGGCTGTCTTCTAAGATAATTTAGACAGGTGAAAAAACACTTTTGTACAAAACACATTGATTTCTCTCTGGCTTATACATCACCTTCTCTGCTTAGGGCAGCAGATGTCAAACATCCCAGTCATTTTTTTATCCTTCACAAAATCGAGGGGTTGTGGTGATTCAGGCTGGAGCTTGGTGGTGTGCATCCTTGCATTTAGCTTGTGATCAGCTCCCTGCTTGAGCACTGAGAACTGCTGGCCTCCAGGGACACAAATCCACTATGGATGTGCCTCCTGCCTGTCTCTGGGCCAGGTGATGAATGGATCTGTGGGCTGGGGAAAGGTCTTAGCACAGGACAGCACCGAGGTCCTGTGTGCCCTGTCACCAAGTCTTGGGGGATGCAGAGCCCTGCTAAGAGATGCACCATTCCCCAGAGCCTCCTACCCACCAGCAGCTGCTCACTGTGCTGGTAGTAGGAGATGGAGATAGGACTGAAGCAGATGAATCCCACACACCAAGCCTGCCACTTTGTTTTGGTGTCCCTACATTTATTTGATTCTGTTTCATTGGGAGTTAGACTGAACTGGGGGGTTTCCAGTCAGTGTCAAGCACAGAACCCGAGAAGTGTTTGCATGTCTGCTCTCACAAAGCAGCTGCTGGAGTCAGTAGGAATCAGGATAATCAATACCTTTGCCATTGTGAGCCCCTGTGCTGTTATGAGGAATCTGTCTGTCTCCAGGAACTCCTGGGGATCTGCTGTGAGCAAACAAATGTCAGCTGGGATTGTTCAACAGGCACTGCCTGTACTTTCTGAAACCCATGGAAAGAAATGAAGGGCAGCATAGTGTAGAGAATGATTCACGTTCCTGCTCTGGTTCCTGTTTTCTTGTTTGTCCAGGTGCATTTACACATTTTTCCCAACTGCTGGAACCAGCAGCTCTGACCTGAACAAAGCCCACGGAGAGGGAAAGGAGAGAGAGGAGTTGTATCTGCCCATTATATGTGTGTGCATGAGTACCCCCTCAAGAAAGCCCCCAAACCTAGTTTCCTTGTTATGGTCAGTCTGTAGTAAAGCAAAGGAAAATATTACTACACCCTACAAGTTTAAGAGCTCAGTTTGGTACTGAAGGATAAGTTAGTGGTACATTTTGATATTAAATGACCTTGATACTAAAATTGAAGAACTTTTTTTCTGAGAGTAAGTAGTTTCAAGAGCCAGATTCTCTTTTCAATTATGATAAGATACTCAGGGAAAAGTTTAGTACAATCAGTGGACTAACATATATAAAATTAGCATGTGGAGAGAAGGCTCCAAACCAGATAGCCTAGTGTGTGTTCCCATCACCTAGGGCTCAAGCACAGCCTTTTGGTAGCCGGACAAGACCCTGCAGGACTTCAGCCATGCAGATTTTGCATTTTTCTGCCTGACCAATGTTTGGCCTTCATTTCCTCCACTGCTCAGGGTGTGAGTAGATTGGCCTTGAAGTGGAATGCAGAGTAATGTGATACAGCTGAGGTGAAGCTGCAGCTGTATCACGTGAAATACCTGTGATGCAGAGGCAAGGTGAGGCCTCCTGCTCTCCTTATTCTATGTGCTTTCCTCCTCTGTGAAGGAGCAGAGAGCTATGCAAATATACTGAATTTGTACAAAGCCTGGTCTCCATGTCAGGACTGAGACCTGCCTTGGGGGCTACAGACTTACAAAACCAGGGGACAGCATGACCACTGGAGGTCACAGTGAGCTCCAGCTGGGTGCACATGGGTGCCAAGGGGTCATGGGACAATCCAGCCAGAGGCAAAACAATGGGACTTGGGCTGCAACTGGCCCAGGGAGCAGGGGCAGTGCAGTGAACAGGAAACAGGCTGCTGGTTAGCAAAATAAAAGGCACATTTGTCTGAATGATGCTGGTCCATCCACAGGGGAGTAAGAGAGCAGTGAGGGTGGAGTCCAAAAGGACTTGGATTGGCTGGGGAATATCCTGGATGGTACAACCCTATGCCTGCAGCACTATAAGTGCAGGAATGAAGTGGAGAGAAGGAAACCTTGGGGCTTCGTGTCTGCTTCCTGGGAGAAACAGCAACAACAGCAGGTGCCCTGGAGACTTTGGAAGGAGAGGAGCAGCACTTTCTATCCTGACCAGCCCTCCAGAGGAATCCACCCCTTTGGGGCTCTCCCATGAGAATGTGGACTCCCTTCCTCCTGAGCTGCCTGCTCTACAGCCTGGGAATAGTGGCACATCCGTAAGTGCCATTCACAAATCTAGTTATTGAGAGTTGTGAATGCCGAGGGAGGGGCCAAGATAGCAGGGAGAGAGTGTGGGACCCTGTGAGTCACCTCCTGGCAGGGCTAGCCATGGGGTGGGTGCAGAGCCTTGTTGTGAATGCAGGGCCCTCCTGAAGGTGAGAACCTCTCTCATGGATATAAATGCAGTACAAGAAGTAGGTGAGCACTGATGGTGGGAACAAGAGTGATGGACTGCAATATCAGGTGGGATGAAGGGCAAGGTGTAGGATAAAGTGAAGGGCAAATGAAAAGGGCTGCAAAGCAGGGGATGGATAAGCAGGAACCAATCTGCTGTCAGGGTAGTTGAGGAGCCATATCACAGCAAGAAGGGCAAATTCTGTTCTGTCACCTGAAAGTATTCATCTTGTACTTATTTAAAATGAACTCTATAGCTTCCATCCCCCCTGTGCAAGGTTCTCACTCTGGCAATCTGTCCCAGTCTCTCCAGTAGAGCAGCACTCCCAGTCTCAGAGAGATGGCAAACTCTCCTGTTTCCTCAGGCCAGCCTTTAGTGCCAAGAGTGGGTGAGAGGGCTCCTGGGATGTGATGGTATCTTGTTTCCCGACTGCAGGAGGTACCTGATCATCATTCCAGCCTCCCTGCCCTACCCCTCATCCCAGAGAGCATGCTTGGACCTTCG